GGGGCGGCATGCCCCGGCACGGTAGCCGGAAAAAAATCGGACTGCAAATGTTTTTCCCCAAACTTTACCTTTCCCAATACAATTGCACCAGCACCAAAACCGAACAATATGCCCGCGCACCACTTTACACTGAAAAAAATACGCGTTTAAAGGATTTATAATTATTTTAGTGCAAAAGCATTACTTGTAGCTATAATACCGTTTTTTTTTTTGCTTTACTAGAGTATTACCAAACGGAAAATAACCTTGCGTATTTATTAAACCGAAATTTTGGAGCTTATAATAAGTTCCTGGCCAGGGGACGGCCAGGATTTTATCTTTAAAAAAGATAACGATTTAGGCATAAAAAAAACCAAAAGTAATATTGTTAGGACCTGGAAGGAAAAGTACAACCTCCGGTACTATTTTAATTGCACCTATTCCCTTAATTGTCAGGGGTTAATCGCTGCAGGGGCGGGTGGTCACTAGGGCACTGGGCGGATGCGGTGTCTCCTTTTCTCAGGCCAGCTCGATTCCTTCTCAAAAGTGCTATGCTGCCACAGAAATTGTTCCTTCTCTAACCTCCCCCTCTCTCGTGCCCCTCTGGGGGACGCGGGGTCGGTCCTATAAGTTCCCCCGGGCTCCAAGCGCCTTTGGGCGATCTAAGCTTCGTCCTATCTTTTGACTTTGCCGTTGTGTTTTAGTCGCGACACCGGTGGCTCGCCGGTGCGCTACCGGGAAGGTCCGTGCTCTTCTGAGTGTCCCGGCGCCTCCTTCCTTCCCTTGCCCGGGCGGCCTCGCCCGTGCACCTGACATTAATATCCTTTTTATTAAAAAGGCCTGGCAAGCCCTTAAAGCCGCTATAAGGAAATTGGCAATTTAGGATAATAATTTGTTGAAAAGCACTGCAAAGGAGGGTTGGAATAACTTCTCCCATGCCCGGATTAATGCGTGGGTGGACGAAATACCAAATATCCTACAGAGGATCACAAATGCAAAGGGTACAATGACTGCAGATTGAATGGGCTCCTTTTTTTTGTGGTGGTGGGGAATAAATTTTGCAGTCCGGTTTTTTTTTCGGGCACGGTGCCCGGTCAAGTTTTCGGCATTCGCGGCGCCGGAGGGAAGAGGGATTGGCCGGTTTCTGCTGCCACAAAGCTTGATACATTGCCACTTGGCTGTAGCATATCGTGTCACCTGTTTGCCCTGATCAATCAACAACAGATATAAGCACCAAGCTGACCGGCCGTTGAGCCGTCCCTCGGTGACGGGCAAAGTCAAACGGGTGTGTGTGGTGAGTGCTACAAGCACCAAGTCCCATCCCAGTCCATGCCAGCCAAACATGAAGCTGGCGATAAAGCCCGACGTTGGAGACGTGCGACTTGGCCGTGTTGCATGTGAGGTTCCAAATTCCAAATACGGCGGCAGGTGTCACTTTTTTCAATATGTTCATTCTAGACAGGCATAGATTGGACTGGCTGTGTTTGAGTGGGTAACTTCTGGTATTGTGTCACTGAAAGGTGAGGGTGGTAACTAATACACAAGAAGCGAGCTGGGCTACATCAGATCCCGTCCGCGAGTACCGGCGTGCTGCTGACTTAAAAGGGGAACGAGGAGAAGGTGATTCAAGACAAAAAAGAAAAAGAACAACCCCAAAAGGGATTTTCTTCCCAAACCATCCAAGAAGCAAGAAAAATGTGCTGGCGGCAAAGTGATATAGGTGCCGAAAATGTGGCAGCTGTTTTTCTCCTGCTTTCAAGGACAGGGTGGTCGAAACAGAAGATAAAAAGGAGATGGAAAGCCGGTTGCAACGGGCTTGTAGAGATCGGTGGGTGTATGGTGGAAAAAAAAAAAGGGGTGAAAAAAGTTCCCTCAAAGTCAGCAGCCCCAATTTCCAACATGGATTATAAACCACACAAAAGAAACCGGGTACGGAGATGTGATAGCTCAGCTACCATTGATGGTAGGAGAGACAGGAGCCTCTACCAACCACCAACCCACTCGACTCCGAGGTCTGCGCGCCGATCACGGCGCCAGTTCGAGTCAATGCCCTTCTTCCAAGGACAGCCATCTTTGGAGCGATCCTTGGGGCTGGTCCATTTAGCCCCGTTGTTCTGATGGATGCCCAGAGGGCCGTGGTTGTTGAAAGCAGTGTTGATGTTGTCGTTGGCGTGTTTTGAAACAGCCATGTTGATTGAGTGATGATGTTGTCCCATATTATAATCCCAAACGCCGTGTCCCAAAGTAGAAAATCCAAAAGTAGGTTGCTGGTTCGGTCGGCTGTTCTTCAACAGCCCTTCAGATGTTTTGGCAGCCGCCTTGGCCGGTTTCGCCGACGAGTAGCCGCGCCGTCGTTGTCCAAGGGCCTCCCACTTGTCACCGTCATTGCGTTTGGGCGGTGGTGAATACCGCGACGACGGGCGGGGAGATACAGGCTGCGTTGGTTGACCACGTCCTTGCTTACTCTCCGGCTCGGGCTCATCGTCTTGGAAGAAGAAGCCGTCCGCGACCAGATCGTCGTCGATGTTGTTCGAGATGGTGTTCTCGATCGACGGAATGTGGTCAGAGACGTACAACGTAGACGCCTTGGTCGCCGGCGACAGACCTCGACGAGGAGTGTCGTCCTCATCCTCGTCATTCCCCAGGACCTGGCTCTCGTGGCTCCAGGTTCGCGAGTTGAGCTCCTTGAGGTTCGTCATCTGGCGAGCACGCTCGTTGGCCTCCTCCTCCTCATCTTCCTCCCACATATCGCTCCAGCTCTTGGAGAATCCCTCGCTGTGGCCAAAGACACTGGACATGGCGGGCTGGGCACGGGAGCGCGACATGGTGATGGGAAGCGAGCCAGCCATTGGCGACACCTTGCGGTGATGCTGCGGGTTGGAGATGCCAAGAGAGCTGATGGAGGCGCCGAGGCTAGAGTTGAGCATGGAATCCACTGAAGGAGTCTGGGCGGCATTGGAGAACCAGTCGGAGTTGGTGGCCTCAGACTTGGAGAAGAGGTCTTCGGTGTAGCACTCATTGTCGGGGATCATGCTGAGTTGGCGGATAGGCATGGCGGCAGTGATCTGGAGAGCCTTGGCCCAAGGGAAAGCACCGGTGTCAACGGCGGGGCTCTGGATCGATGGAGTGCGGAGGGGCTCGCGGTTGGCCGAGGCCATGGCGGTGCGGTCCGTGGAGCAGAAGTCATCCAGAGCCTCATCCGTGGTGGTGAAGCTAACAACACGGCGGAGGGCACGACGAGCACCGACCAGAGAGCGCTTGTTGGGGTCAAGGTTCATGCACTCGACGATGACCTCGTACGTGTCTTGCGACATGTAGGGGAAGACATCGAAGAGCGACTGCTTGTCACGCGAAAAGTCCAGGAAGAGGAGGTCGGCCTCGGTGGGGGTGGTGAAGGGGTTCCGCGAGAAGAGGACGTTGAGCAGACAGATGCCAATGGCCCAGATGTCGGCCTGAGCAGGCGAGTAGCCAGCACCGGCCGAGTCATACTGTTCCGGTGACATGTAGCGGTCACTGCCAACAGTGGCCTCGTACGTCCACCGCTCCGTTGTCGCCAGACCGAAGTCACCAAGCTTGAGGGAGCCAGTATCGGTGAGGAAGATGTTCTCAGGCTTGATATCGCGGTGGTAGACGCCCTTGGCGTGCATGTACTCGACGGCATCGACAAGCTCAAGCATGAACTTGCGGACATGCTCCGTCTCCAGGGGACCATAACCATGGCGGATGGCCTCGTAGAGATCGCCACGCTCACAGAACTCAAGGACGAGGTACACGTGAGCATCAGTCTCGAAGGCGTCCACCAGGTTGACGATGTTGGGGTGACTACCAAGACGCTTGTGCAACACGAGCTCCTCAGACTTCTCGTCAACGGCGAAGTCGAAGCCGTACTGGTCGGCGGCCGCCTTCTTGGTCAGGCACTTGATAGCAACCTTCTCGTCCGTGCGAACATCCCTCGCCATGAAGACCATGCCAAAAGAGCCATGGTTCAGCGGCGAGATGGTCTCGTAGCGTCCGTCAAGGACGACGCCCATGTCGAACCTGTCTCGCAGGCATTCCATGGCGTCTGATTTGATGATGAAAACAGACAGAAAATGGGTATCGTAAGATTAGAGCTGAAAAGAGACGAGGATTATCGATGATGTTGGTTGCTGGTGGTACAGTTGCAGCAGAGCTTTTGTCCCAAAGGTCCGTTTGCCAGTCTAAGCTGACGCCACGAGCAGGTGTGATCCGAAGCGCTTTATCGAGTGGTACAAGTGTCGAAGTAGACGAACAAGTTGACGTAGGTCCGGAGGTTTTGCGTAGCAGATCAGCGCGGGGTTGGCGTGGGTTCGAAGGCGTGTGTGAACTCAATGAGGCGAGAAGAAATGAGGATGAGGGATATACAATCGTCCAAGACTCGCCAAAGCGCAACAATAAAACAGTGTAGCGGAGGAAAAAAGAAAAAGAAAACTCCAAGTCGTTCCAGTCAGAGGCTCATAGGTGATGTGTGGTTGTGGACTTCAAACAAAGGAAATAAATCAAGCAGGTCGGGCAGTCGAGGAGGGGACCGAGAGTCCGAAAATGAGGGCAGGCGACGCTACGAGAGCATCGACGGGGTCAAAAGAGTGACGTTGATGTTTTTGTGTTGTTGTTGAATGTGGATAAGAGTTGAGATGGCAAAGGGGGATACGTCGGATCAAAGAGCAAACCGGGACGACCCTGATGTATGTTGTTCTTGGTATACTGAACAAGGAGCAGGGTGGCCTAAGATGGATCGATGACTCGACGAGGGCGAGATGCAAAGGCAGTGTTAGGAAATGGGTTGGCGGCCAAGAAGCAACTGGGTCGAAGTGGTGGGTTCCGATTGCTTGAAGGCGCCGAGGATGGTGAGGAATCACCGAATGAAGAATACCAGGTGGGCAAGAAACTCCCGTCCCGACTTGAGTCGATCGATGGCAGCTATTGCGACACCTGGTTTATCTGGGTTGTGAACATCCGTGAAGGTTTTGGTATCGGTAGAACAGGATGCTGAAGAGATGACTCTTCAACCCCCTTGTTCAACGAGATGGGAGCCGTCCAGGCTAGGGTGAGCGTTCGGTGCCAAAAGTTGGTCGTCGATTGAGAAGTCGTCGCCGTCGGCGATGTGAGCAGGCTGACAATTTGCCCTTTTGGCGGTCGATTGCGTGATCAGAGCGGGCTGTTGTGGTTGCTGCTACGTGCTTGATTGCCCAAGAGATTGAGTTCGTCGTGTTATTGAATTGGCTTGGCGTGTCGTGTGCTCGCCGTCAACTATTGGAGGGTGGTCACACCGAACCGAGAAATCGGACTGCGTCGTCGTCGTCGTCGTCGGAGGCGGGCAGGCGGAAGGCGGCGAGGATTAATAGGCCGACCGAGTCACGAGAGCGGTGCGGGCGGACAAAGGGGGCGGAGGTCGAGACTCTGCGCACAAACACACACACACGGCTAGGCCGAGGCGGGAAGGATGTAGGGCAGAGAAAGGGAAGAAGGAGGATGAGGCGGACTTCGCGAGACGCAGCAACGGAGCAAAAGGAGGCGTGCCGTCCTTTGACCGAGGCGGCCCACGCTAAGATATATCAAACAGGCTGCAACGGATGGATGATGAACGGTGAAGCGGAGGAAGAAGGGTGGACGGGGGAAGAAAAGGAAGGAAGGGGAAGAGCGGTGGAGAGGGACCAGGTGGGAGTGGAGGATGCAATGCAGGTTCGGGCAGGCCCTGCCTGTCGGGGGTGGGCGAGGGTGTGTGGGTGGCAGGCCACCAAGCCTGCGCGATGGCTCACGAAACTATGGGGATTGGTGGACCCAAGGCCCGTTTCCAGGAGCCAAGGTTGGCAAGGGCAGGTGTCGCTTGTCTAAAATGGGGGGAAATGAGCAGAAGCTGCTGGACGGTGCTGGACGCTGGCCAGCCCAGTCACTTCACCCACCAAAGCACGCCAGCTGTACCGTGCGTGTGTAGTAAGCGCGGCCAGCCAAGGGCACGGGAACCGTGGGTGACATGAATAGCATCGCCCCATGGCAGGCAGGCCACGGACCCCTCAGGTACACGGTACATGCACGCGACCGGCACCCACCACCCACCAGGCCCCCTGTCGGAAACACGCACTCACTGATGGGTGGTCTAGGTCGAATGACCCCGTGGCAGGCACTAGGCTGCTGCCCGCAGGGAGGGAAAGTGAGCAGGTTCGAAGAGCGTGGGAGACAAAGGAACCAAAGGAACCACCAAAAACCCGAGCTAAACGTACAACACAGCAGCAGCAAGACGTGCAGCCGGGACAGTGCACGGGGCTGGGATGTGCACGGACTCTAGCGACATCACCAGGCCAGTCCTGCAGTGAACGGCTCGATTTCGCGCTCGCTTCTGCACACACTCAGCCAGCTCCCACAGTGTAAAACCTGGCGCACTGGCACGGGTCTAAGTGGTAGCCAGCTCAGGCTGTTGATGGGCATCGGCCGGGCGCAGCGCCTCCCAAATGCCATTAGAAATGGGCCGTCGTGTTTGTCAGACAGCCGCTCGTGAGTGCCCCCAAAAAAAAAAAAAAAAAAAAAGAAAGAAAAAAAGAAGCCAAACAGGCACACGCCTTATGGATCCGGCCTCAGGACATTCCAATCTTGACTTGCCCGGGAGGAGTCCTGGAGCCGTGCGCTTCTCCAATTTGGTGGCTATGACTTGGGTACCTCGCACAGGTACCTCGTACATACCTACAGATGGATGCACCTGTGTGCAGGCGCAGCAGGTGGAGACCTGGGGGATGTGCAGCGCATTTCGACATGATCCATGCCAGGCGCTAGCCGCCCGTTTTACCTGCGCGCCTGCTGCCACCTTGGACCAAGCCCAAGAGAGGACAGCAGCAGCGTAAGTGACTTCCGCTAAAACTCTCCGGGTCGGGCAACAGGCCGGGGTGGCCGTTTGTGCAATTCCACAACGAGCACTATGTAAACAAAGGAGGCAGGCAGCGTGTTGCCAGCAGGGCCAAGCGTCGGGCCCAGTCCAGTCCATGCATGTTGGGGGCGCCCTTGTCTCGATTCGCCACGGTTGTTCCTGGGCTGGCCCTCCCCCAAGCGCGAACAGCCACGCCGCCAGCTGCGCATTCTAGCGCTGCAAGGGTGCTAAAGATACACTGATGACTGGGCTTCGCGCGCGCAAGCCACCCTCCGCACAGTAAGCTACCGGTTCTCCCCCTAGTTATCGTAGCAACGGAGCCGATACGTGTCCAACAGGGATAAGTATTTTCTCTTTATTCGCCAGCCGTCCTCTTTTTGAATACCTCTCTTTTTGAATCTTTTAGCCTGGAAATTCCGGCCCCGCGCGCCACCAAGAGTGAGTAATTGGCTCCATCAGCCCCAAGCCAAGGCAATAGGCCGCTTTCTAGTCTATTCAATCAAGAGGCTGGCCGCCCAACGTATGCCTGACCATGCCTGACCATGCTTTTAGTCTGGCCACGCGTGCCAAATGGCCGCCCAACACGATACCCATCGACGGTGCTGCCTCTTTGTTTTCCCTTGCTGTAAGGGCTGGCTGGAGTGGACGCAATGCAATCAAACCAGCTCCTCTTTGCTGGTTCCCCACACACACACCCCACATTCACATACACATACACCCTCTGCTGCTCCGTGCGCCTTCACACCGCCATTGCCAATTTGGAACAGCTGCTGTAAATGTAAACATTCTGAAGGCCTGAAATGGGGGAGGCTCGTGGCAGTTTGTCCTGCCTGAATGTTGATGTTGCAAGATAGTGGACACAACAACGTCGCCATAAAGTATCTTGCTCGGGCCCAGGTACCCCTGGCATTGACCGCAAGGCAGACCAAAAACAGCCGCGCCCGCAACGAACGAGTCTCCCCACTCGGTAAAAGCCCAGTCGACAAAGGCCACGTCGTAAATAAGAGGTCACGAACATGTAAGTGCCCAGCCAGAAAAGGTCGACTGACTACTTGTCCATACCTCGGCCCTAGCATTTACCTGCGCAGGACGCCTCGCTTCTATGCTGTTTGTTTGCCTACCAATTGAGAAACATGCATGCCTGCCGCACCCCGAGGGAAAAGGGGGCACCCACTGAAAAAAAAATCCGAACCGCAAAAAAGGAGCTCCCATTTCAAAGTCAATTGATACCACCAAAAAAAAAAAAG